TTTTAGGACAAAGTTTGTGTTCTTGATTCTTTAAGAACCGATTCGAGCACTGGCACCGTTTCAAAAGTACTGGTTTGGTACTGGTATTGGATAAAACCTAAATGATACCCATCCCTAGTAACGAAGTAGTGAAAATTCCTGTCATTCCCAATGATCTACACCAGAGTGCTTATTTTTGTCTGGACCTGAGATTTTTCTGTGTTAGCTGTGAAAACTTTACAATGTTTGCATCAAATTTCTTCTTGGTCTGTACGAGGAAACTGTTCTGGATGTATTGTGATTTGTATTTCAGCATACCTCTGCACCTTTAGCGAGGGCAAAGCCTCCACCAACCAGCAGGGCAACTTGCCACGGCATGGAGGCCTGAAACTCTTTCCAAGAGATCATCGCCTCTGAATTGAGAGAAAAAAACATATTTACTGGGACTGATGCTGAAAAACAGACGTGTTAAATGATTGTTAAAACTTTACTGATTGTTGGTATTCACACATTTCTTTGCAGCCTCAAGTTTTTATATCTCTTTTATGTAAAAGCTTGATATGCATAGGACGCAATAACCAAATAAGTGAGATTAATGTGGTGTAGGAAAACTGCATTAAGAAGAATTAAGAAAAACCAACCTGAGTAAATCTACAGTATTTAATCTTGACCCATTATGCTAATTCCTGCTCCTTATTCTTGGAGCAGTTTTGCATGACTCAGTTAATAATTCTTATTTATCTCATAGTGGTCTGTGGTGTAGCCCCTTGGTTTAAAGTTTGCCTGAAACAAGGTTTCAACTGTAACTGATTGGTTGCCCTTCATAAACAAAAATGTTGAGAGTACTTGTGTTAGCCTTCAACATCCGACTAAACAACAAGCCACATTTCATACATATTTCACACCATATTTTCTGGAGGGTCCGTGAGCAGGTACAAAGAAGAGGAGGACGCCCAGCACCAGAGCCACAGTGGCATCTGTGATGTAGTTGGATTTACTGAAAAACAGAAAAAGGGATCAGCTGGGTCATGGTTCATTGCTGCTGTGAAAAATCATAAAAATGCATGTTTCCCAAAGAATCTGGTCTTTGTCATTGTATCATTTGTATCGTATTGTTTGTGGGAATAATTTTGAATAATTTCCAAGGCAATAAAAGAAGGTTGTGACTCACTGAGGGAAGAGGGAACCCCAGCCGGGTACAAAACCTGGAGATCTGGTCAACCACAACAAAACCATCACCACAAAAACCACCCCGGTGAAGATCTCCTGAGAACTGGAGAGAGGGAACGAATGAATGTGTGAATGCATAAATTAT